TGGCCAAGTGGTTGTTCTCCAGATTTCTTGGCACAGCTTGGTGAGCACATCCAGGGCAGCATCTGTTAGCTGAAATATGTCAATTGGTATACCATCTACTCCTGGGGCCTTATTTTTTGCCATTTCCTTCAAAGCAGCTGGAACTTCTTTCATCACCATAGGCTCTTGCTCATATGCTATTTCATTTAATTCTTCTGTGTCTGCCAATTCCTTTCAAAACAATGACTCAGTATATTCTTTCCATCTTCTTTTAATACTTCCTGGATCATTTAATATTCTGCCTAAAGCATCCTTGATTATAGCAACTCTAGAAGTCTGAATTTATTCTTCAGTTCCTTGAGCTTAAGAAATGCTGAGCGAGTTCGGCCCTTTTGATTTTCTGACTCCAGCTCTTTGAACATTTCATTGTAATATTTTGCTTTGTCATTCTGTGCTGCCTTTTGTAATCTTCTATTCAGCTCTTTAATATCTTGAATTCTTCCTTATGCTTTGGCTTCTCTGTGCTCCAGTGCAATATTCAGAGTTTCTTCTGACATCCATTTTAGTCTTTTTTTTCCTCCTCTGTCTTTGTAGTGACCATTTGCACTCTTCCTGGATGATACATTTGACATCCTCCCACAACTCATTTGGTCTTTGTTCATTAGTGTTCAAGGCCTCAAACCTGTTCCTGACATGGTTCTGAAATGCAGGTGGGATGAACTCAAAGTCATATTTTGGTTCCCATGGATTCGGTTTAGTTTTCCTCAGCTTCAACTTGAACTTGCATATAAGTAGTTGGTCTGTCCCACAATCAGCTTCTGGCCTACTTTTCACAGCTGATAATGAGCTTCTCCAGTGGTTCTTTCCACAGATGTAATCAATCTGATTCCTATGCATACCATCTGGTGAAATTTATGTGTATAACCTGTGTTTATGTTTCTTATAAAACGTATTTGCAATGAATAAATCATTGGTCATGCAAAATTCCATCATTCTATCTCCAGCTAGTGATATTGTTCAATAATTTCTGCACTCTGTCGGTTTGTCTTTCTTTGGAATGGGAATAAATATGGATCTCTTCCAGTCAGTTGGCCAAGTAGTTGTCCTCCAGATTTCTTGGCACAACTTGGTGAGCATATCCAGGACAGCATCTGTTTTTTGAAATATGTCAACTGGTGTTCCATCAATTCCTGGGGCTTTATTTTTTGACAATTCTTTCAGAGAAGCCTGAACTTCCTCCTTCATCACCATTGGCTCTTGATCATAGGTTCTTACTTGAAATTCTTCTGTGTCAGCCACTTCTTTTTGGTACAATGACTCTTTACAGTCTTTCAATCTTCTTTTAATGCTTCCAGAATCATTCAGTATTCTGCCCACAGTATTCTTAAGCATTGTAAATCGTGGCTTGAATTTGTTCTTTAGTTCCTTCAGCTTAAGAAATGTTGAGCAAGTTCTGCCCTTCTATTTTCTGACTCCAGCGCCTTGCCCATTTCATTATAATACTTTGTCTTCCCAAGCTATCCTTTGAAATCTTCTATTCAGCTGCTTAACTTCTTGATTTCTTACCTTTACTTTGGCTTCTTGGCGCTCTAGTGTAATATTCATAATCTCTTCTGACATCCATTTTGGTCTTTTCTTCTTACTTCTTTGTAATGACCTTTTGCATTCTTCATGAACGATAGTCTTTATATCTCCCCACAGCTCAGTTCATCTTCATTCATTATTGTTCAAGGCCTCAAATCTGTTCCTGAGTTGATTTTTAAATTCAGAAGAGATACATTCAAGATTAAATTTTTATTCCTTTGGATATGATTTCACCTTTCGCTTTGAGTATGCATAGGAGTAGTTGGTGGCCTGTTCCACAAGCAGCACTTGTCCTAGTAGTCACAGCTGCTATTGAACTTCGCTAGCAATTCTTTCGAGAGATGTAATTGATCTGATTCCTGCACATCACATCAGGTGAAATCCATGTGAGCAGGGAGAAAAGTGCAACATTGAATGAATGGAAATACAAAATATCTGTAAATTTTCATTAAAATTAATAATAATAATAATAATAATAATAATAAAATTTTGCTATTCTTACTGGGGTGAGATGATATCTCATAGTTGTTTTAGTAGCATTTACCTTTTCAAAACTGTTTTTCTCAGTCACATATTAACTATTTCATAAGTTGTCTAGTTGTTGTTGTTGCCATCGAGTTGAGCACGACTCGGAGTGAACCTATGAACAAAAGGTCTGAAGCCTTTCTATAACCATTGTTAATTTAACAAGTTCATAGAGTTTCCAAAGACACATTGTTTAGCAAGTGGATGCCACTCCTGCTTCCAAGTTGTCCATTTACTAGTAACTATATGTATTCTTTTAAGAAATCCTGTAACTTTAATTAACAAAAGTCTAACCCACGTATAAAAACCTAATCAAGACTCCCAGATGGGGAAGCAGCTTTTGAGAAGATTCTCTCTGACCTCCCAGATCTGGAATAAAGTGCTTTGGATACTGTAGTCAGTCTGTCGTATTAGCATGTGACCATGGAAAGAACCCCTTGTGTTCAGTAACATTTAGATTCTTACAGAAGCAGACTAGTTCTTCTTTGTCTGGAGGAGCAACGGGTGGATTTGAACCACCAATGTTTCAAATAACCCTTCAGTGCTTAATATACTGTGTCATCATGACTGTGTAAAAAATATCACAGTCTAGAAAACTGTATGGGGCAATTATAGTTGGCCACATTAGCATACAATGGATTAAAATTGACTCTATAGCAACTAAAAACAACTTCAGTAACAATATTTTATCATACACAGAACATTTTACAATTAAAATAAATAAATTCCATGACAAAAATTGCTTTTTAAAATAGGAGAGTAATCATGAAACAATATCAGTCGAAATAAGTAGCAAGAGAGGAAAGTTTTGTTTCATCATTGAATGATCTTGCCTCTCTCTGATTACACTTTTATAGAGAAGATGGTTACATGATAGTTCTTGCATCAATAAATATTGGTAAATACTTCAAGGACAAAGTTACTTACTCTGAATAGTTTTTGCCATCTCTCTTTTCTCTCTGATAAGCAATTTTCGCCGTTCCCGGCATTCTTTGTTTAGTTTTTGCTGCTGGATATTTTCCTGGTGGAGTTGTACGATTCTTTCTTGCAGTAGTCCCAGGGAGTGGTTAGAAAACACCAGGGTACTAGAAAGATCATTAGGTATTTCTCCAAATACCGTATATTCTATCTATAAAAGCAAATAAAAAGGGTAAAATTCATGTGATAAAGATATAAATGAAATGTAAAGTGATAGAAGGGAGCTCTGGTGGCCTACTGGAAAGAAACTGTGGTGCAATCCCAAAGGCATGCAGTTCAAATCCATCAGCTGCTCCATGAGAGAAGGACAGACAATCTCCTCCCGTGCAATTAACTGCTTCTGAAAACCTGCTAGAGGATCAGTTATGGGTTGGGTCCAACTCAACAACAAAAAACAACAAAGTGATAGAAAGTGAAAGGAAAGCACTTTTCCTTGCTATTTCTAATGCCTCTGAGCTTGCATCTTTCAAAAACTCAAAACTCCTTGCTGTGGAGTTGGAAGTAACTTATAACTTATACTCCAGTGAGTTACCAAGGCTGTTCTTTACTACGCTCTACTTGAATTATAATTTAAAATGTAAAATGCATGTAACTACAAAAAAAAAAGGCCCATCTTGCCCTGTTTTGCCAGTGCTTAAGGAACAGAAAATAAGGCATGAAGGCACAGGACCATAAGCGTCTTTCTGAAAGGGCTCGAGAGAGTGAGAATCGCAGCCCTTCACCATCCCAGAGCAGAAAGCACATAAAGAGCTGCTGCCCTGTCCCTCTAGAGCTATATCAGCAGCAAGAGGTTTGTTCATTTGTTGTTTACTCACATATTTTACTGAAAGTTATGGTTTATTAGGGAAATAGGCTGGGGATTGAGAGAGGCAAAGAATACATACAAGTTCAGGGTAAGCCCAGGGTTAGTCCAACTGCCCCAAGCCACATCAACAGTAAAACACAATTGCTTAATTAGTATAACTCCTGGTTTCAGTTCAACAAGTCTAAATCATCCAATAAGGTTTGCCTCAGAACAGTTATAAATTAGCTTCTCCTTCAAGCACTTGGGAAGAACAGTAAACCGTTTAACTGTGGCTATTTTTTTTCTTTTTAAAAAAATCTTTGATTTAGTAATAGGGAATTTTCTGTGAGGACTTCCACCTTAAGGGGACACCCAGTTAATAGATCCCAAAGCACAGTGTTTTCTCCCACCCATAGAAACTGCAACACAATTTCACAACTGGAGCACTCCAACCTACAGGCTTCCCGATTAGGATTCTTAATAATTCACAAAAAACACCAAGGAGATGCAACTGAGGGGCTAGCAGGACGCCATGAAGCCCTGACTTGGAGGCTGTCCTGGTGAACCCTAGAGGCTAAGCCTCAGGGGCTGGCTGGGTTCGCTGGTTCCCCACCAAGACACCTCGCTGATGTAAACGCAACCTGTGCCTTTCTTCCAGTTCTTTTTGTATCCTGTAGATTTTCTCTGCCAAAAAAAATAGTAGTATTCATCCCGGTTGTTAGCAGACTCATACATGTCCCCTTCCACCTTCTTTGCATAGGCTACCAGGTTCTCCATCCGGGGATCCCGCGGTGCTGCTGCATTAGGGGTTGGAAAGATGGCTTAGACAAATTTATGCACAAGATGGTTGCGGAGGTGCTGAGAGATGTGTTCATGCCAGCGTTTCCAAAAGCCAGTGCAGAACGGCGGTGCTACTCCAGGTACAGCTTGGAGGGTCCCACTGTTCCCAGAGTATGACCCACCACCATACATCAGCAGGTTGGTGGCCCTAAAAGATGCTGGAAAAGCCGATGCTGAAATTAAGTTCTGTGGTAGTTGGCTTGTTCTTAATTCTCTTGCTGGAATAGTTGCTGGATTAGTCCCTTCCGATTGCACCGCCCGGGGCTCAGCGGGCGGGTTTGGCTGCTGGCGCTCCATTTCAGCTGGCCTGTGTCCACGGGGAGTGCGCCCTGTCCTATTCTGTCCTCGCGAGGGGCTAGGGCGCGGGGGGCTCGGGCCTCACTCTACTTCCCACCACGCGGATCCTGACGCCGACTGGACTGTGTCTTAACTGTGGCTATTATCTCAGGGCTCCTCTGGTTACATCTTACCACAGTTTCTCCACAGCAATGATGCAGTTTCTCCACCTCCATCACCAGAGTCTCCCAATTAGGGTCTTGCTCTCACGAGGTTCTTGCTCCAGGCTCCTTCAAGGCTTGCTCAGTGTGGGAAGCACTCTCTCTCTTATCCTAGTCTCACAGCTATTGATAATTTGCAAGACCATATGTATGTAATTAAGGTAGTTGGATACTACTAGGGTTTAAAGTAATAGCCAAAAAAGCCAACTTTAGGGTAACACTGCAGCCAGATTGGAAGAAAGTTTTCCCTTAGAAGAAAAAGCCAAGATCAGTCATCCATACATGTTGTGTAACGTGACCATCTCAAGAACAGATGTGAGGTTTTGGACATAAGTGAACGAAGACCAGATGAGCTGTGGAAGGATATCAAGAATATAATTCACAAAGAACACAAAAAGTCAATACAAAGACAGAGGAGGATGAAAAGGCCGAGATGGGTATCAGAAGAGAGTGAAGAGATCCATATTTATCCCCATTTAAAAAAATGATCTCACGGTGTGGAAATTATAAAACAATATCACTAATACCACATACAAACAAAATCCTGCTGAAGATTGTAAAAAAAGTGACTGGAACAGCACATTGTCAGAGAGCTAACAGAAATACTGCAAGGTTTAGAAGAGACCATGGCATTAGAGACATCATCACCAATGTCTGATGGATCCTGGTTGAAAGCAAAGAGTACCAGAAGAATGTCTATCTGTGTTTCATTGACTACACTAAGGCATGTGACTTTGTGGATCACAACAAATTGTGACTAACCTTGAGAAGAATGGGAATCACAGAAAACATAATAGTGTTTATGCTATTATGCATTATAGTCCTATTCCTGGACCAGGAAGCAGTCCCCAAAACAAAGCAAATAAATACAGCATGATTCAAAATCTAGAAAGAAGGCATGTGTCTTATCCACAAACATTTTCAATCTGTATGCAGAACAGATAATTCAGGAGGCTGGACTTTATGAGGAAAATGCAGTATCAGAATTGGAGGAAGACTTATCAACAACCTGCATTATGCAGATGATACAATCTTGCTTGCTGAAACTGAGTAGGATCTGAAGTATATGCTGCAGAAAGCCAAGGACTGTAGTCTTCAATATGGATTAAAGCTCAACATCAAGAAAACAGAGATTCTCACCACTGGGACAATTGAGATGAAGAGATTGAGGTTGTTACCAATTTCAGCTTGCTCAGCTCCACAATCAACACTCTTGGCACCAAAAGTTAGGATATCAAAAAACAAATTGCACTGGGGAAGTATACTGTCAGAGTCTTCTCTGAAGTGCTAAAGAGCAATGATTCAGTCTAGAAACTAAGGTATGCCTGATCTAGGCCATGGTCTTTGCAATTACTTGCTGTGCATCAGAATGCTGGACAATGACCAAAGATGAAAGAAGCAGAATTGATGCCTTTGTGTTGTGGTACTGGAAAAGAGTATTGAACATACCATGTACTACCAAGAAAACTAACAGGCCTGTCTGGAGAAGGTGAAACCAAGCTGTTCCTTGGAGGCAAGGATTTTGAGGCTCTGTCTCACATACATTAGGGATGTGGCCAGGAGGGACCAGTGTTTGGAGAAGGATATCATGCTTGGAAGGATGGAGAGACAGACAGCATAGGATAGGAAGACCCCAGATGAGATGGAATGACACATTCACTGGTAGAATGGGAGGTAGGTGTGTCAGAGTTAGTGAGACTGGCTGAGGATAGGGCAAACTTCAGAACACAGTACATAGGGTCGCTATGAGTTGCAGGTGACTCAATGGCACGTAACAACAACAACAACAACAGCAACAGCAACCACCACCTGACCTATACTAGACTAGCCCACAGTTGGTCTTTAATATGTCAATCCTGAAGTGTTTGTTACACACCCAGAAACTCAAAGCTCTTTGTCATCTAGTCTGAAGTGACTCATAATTGACTCTCTCTAGTGGGTTGTCAGAGGCTGTAAACCTCTGAAATGGGGGCTATCACTTATCTTTCCTCTAGGAGCCAGCACTGGATTCATATCACCCAGAGAGGCTCCATCTTTGAGTTTGCAGCAACACTCCCCATGAACCAGGCCTCCAGAGCTTCCTTGGCACCACGGAAAGTGTGGGAGCAAGCAGGATCGGGACACTGTCAGCAGATGAGAAACTGCATTTTGCACCTCTAGGATAGGAAATCTTCCCACATAGCTGTGGTGACGTAGTCCCTATGGAGTTGCACTGCTAACCCAAAGGTGTCACCTCTCTGGAGGTTCAAAGCACCAGTGTCTCTGCTGGAGAAAGATGAGCAATCTCCTCCTGTGTGACTTATAGCCTCCCACTGGAGAAACCCACTGGAAGGCCAGTTATGAGATGGTCTGACTTGGTGGCAATGAGTTTTTGAATACATAACAAACACTGCAGGAGTGTCTTATTCTAATCTGTGCTAATCCAATTTTAGTCAGGATACACAACATATACAGAAGGCTGATCTTGATTTTCTCTTCTAAAATAGAGATTTCACTCAACCTGGGAAAATAGGGTAAAGTGGTCCTTTTTTGCTCATTGACATCAATATTGAACTTTAAGATAAATTATAACTCAAGTAGAGAATAGCAAAGAATAAGGAAGAGGGGGAGAAAAGAAAGAATATCTTCCTTTTCTCTTGCCCTCACTTATCAACAAGCAGAGAATAAGGGAAGAGATTTCCTGAACCCTTAGTTTATATCTATTGATATAAAAAGTGACGTGTGCAAGATTCCAGGGTTCAACCTCTAAGTTATCCCTTTCTTAAATCTGCAAATCTGAAATGATCCCACTTTCAAAATCATAATGGAACATAAGGAAATGCACTTATTTTAGCAACGTTGTTTTGTACTGTCAAGTCAGAATCAACTTACAGCTGATCCTCTGAAAAGTTTTCAGAGGCAATTAATTGCACGGGAGATTATCCATCCTTCTCCTGTGGAGTAGTTGGTGGATTTGAACCTCCTGCCTTCAGGATTGCAGTGCAGCTTCTTGCCACTAGGCCATCAGAATTTTAGTATACTGTAACTAAAGAGCTCTGGTGTCCTACTTAGAAATTGTATTGCTAACTCAAAGGCCCATTTTTCCAATCCACCAGCTGCCTCATGAGAGAAAGGCAATCTGCTCCTATGTAATTCACAGCCTCTGAAAACCCACTGGAGGATCGACAATGAGTTAGTTTCAACTCGACGTAGCAACAGCAACATGCTATAACTAGGGAGCACTGTTAACCCAAAGGTAGCATCTCGCTGGTGGTTCAAATCCAGCAGCTCCAGGGGGAAAGACGGGAAATCTCCCTCCATGCAATTTACAGCCCTTTAAAACCTGCTGGAGGTGCAGCTATGAGTTGGTTATGACTCGATGGCAATGAGAGTTGAGATGCTATATAACTATCTGATGATAATGGATAAAAAGAGCTTGGCTCATTCTACATGGAGAATGCTGGGAAAGGCCCACAATTCTCTTCACTTAGTGATCTACTATTGATATTTCTCCAAAAGAATTGTTGACTTTTCTGCTTAGACAGCAGTGGACGAGCCCTCCTGACCTGATGGAGTTTCAGCGGGATCACCACGAGCAGCTCATTCAGTTGCTGCTGCTTCTCTCGCTGGTATGCCTCCAGGGCCTCCTCTGCGGCCTTCAGATTATTTGCCACAACTTTCACCTGTAGAAAAATCCATGCATGAAATGTTGAAATAAAAAACCTTCAATTAATTTTCACCTAACATAGTGAATAAAGACAACCAGAAAGAAAGTAAATGACCTGGAAGTGGCTCAAGATCTAGATCTGTTGAACGGCTGCGTTTGATACTTTTTTTTTTTTTTGCGTTTGATACTTTTGTGAACAGCTAACTTGGCAGAGCCTTCCCAGTTCTGATAAGACAGTCTGAAGAAAAGGTAAGTACCTTCTGAGTCTGTAGTGTATTCAGGTTGTGCTTTGTTGATTTGTGATGAAGTGGCTGGTACCATTTGCCAAGCAGGAATTGTTTTCTACCTGCTATGTGATGGTTCACAGCACTTTTTGTGTCATTCTAATATCTCCAGAGATGTTGAGGCTTTTAGAACATGAATTAAAAATAAAGCCCTCACTGTCCTCTTCTCTACTAGAATGTGGGTCATAATGACCCCCATAAACTCAAGGGGAAGTTCCCTTAAAGCAATGAATCTACTGATTATAATATACAGAACAATACTGTATTCTTCAGCTCCTTAGAAACAAGTAAGCTTCCACAATCACTTTCAATTTGCAAAAGGAGAAGTAATCTATTAAAAAAAAGAATTTCTGAATCATGGTCAGTGACTCTAGTCAATAGTGTGTAAGAGGGAGAAGGAGCAGGTAAGAGAGAAGTCAATCACCAGATTGGTATCACAAGATTAAATTGTTGTTTTATGTTTTTATAGTTGTAATCAACTCATAGCTTATCCTCCAGTGGGCTTTCAGAGACTATAAACTGCACGAGAGGAGACTGTCAATCTTTCTCCCTCAGAGCAGTTGGTGTACTATTCAAACCACCCACATCTGGGTGAGCAATACAACTCTTGTCCACTAGGCCACTAGAGCTCCCTAAGTTTAAATAGTGACCGCAAACATGGGATGAATGCACCCTAGAGAGATAAAACACAATCTATTTGGAAATCAAGAAGAAATTATCCAAATTTCTAACTCTTTTTATCTCATTCTTTTCTAAATTTTTAGGGGAAAATGTGTCATAATATGCAAAATATATTCATATCCTTATGAAAATAATTTCTAAATGAACTTACATTTATACGGGGGGAATAAGTGCTCAACAATTTTACTTAAGGAATTATAAAATAAAAAAAGTATAAAGTATAATGACTTGGAGAAATAAAGTCCAGTCATCAAAAATCACCCCCAGATCCCCAAGTCTGAGAAGGAGAAACTGGATTTGACATTGCGAAGCTTCTTCCCTGGAGAGAAGTCCTAACAGATGGTATTGCTATGGTATGACAACATTGTAGCTTGGATAATGTGTAGCACACATGTCAGATGAGAAGAAAATAAGACAGACAACCATACTTTTTTTGATAATGTATCATATTCCTTCTTGAGATTATCAATAAGCTTCTTTTCTTCAACTGAGGCTTCCTCGATGTCCAGCCGTTTCTCTCGAAGTTGAATGGCCAGTTCAAAAAGAGATTTATTACAACCTGGAAAGACAGTGGCATACATATGCTCATGCAAACATGCACAGAGAGAGGAGGGAGATAGAGATACAGGAGAGAGGAGAGAGAGAGAGAAAGAGAGAGAGAGAGAGAATGAATGATTTGTTAAAGAATACAGTTAGAAGCTCAAGTGTGGTCTCAGGGCTATGGAATTAATAAGTCCATTTGTGGATTCACTTTAGCAAACTTATATGACATTTACATCTCCATTGTTTTAAAGGGAAATTATTCATAATTGTAATCATCTTGAGAGTAATTAGGTTACCAACAGGGATATTCTGAGCCAGGCTTTGTGCTTGGCCCTTGTGTGTGCTGCCTCACTCAAAGCTCACAGTCTTTCTAGGTAGAAACTAGTGCTCCCATTTCACAGCTGAAGCGCTCTGGTCTCAGACACATTATGCAGACAGTACAGTATACGACAGGATGAGATTCAAGCCCAGTTATCTCTGTGTTCTTTCCACTATACCACACTAAAGCCACACTTAGCCAAGTCACAAAAAAGAATGTGAACATATCAAGAGCACTATAATGGAAGTGACATGGTGATGGCAGCACTGGGCTCTAGTGTATCAGAGACATTAAGGATGGTAAAGTGTAGGACAAGATTCATAGGGTCACTATGAGTCATACTTGACTCAATGGACCTAGCAACAACAACATAATGGATGTTAGCAATCTTAGATTCAGGCCCAATTCCACCATTAAAATAGTTGTGGCACTTTGTCCAATCTGAACCTGCTTAAGATAACAAATTGTGGTACAAGTTTTTCTGCTCTTTTCCACAAATAAATAGTATGATTTTAAGACTCTTGTTTTAATTTTACATGAAATGCCTAACTCAACGTGCTGCACTGGGCAGATTCTGACTCATAATGACTCTCCTCCAGAGGGTTTGTAAGGCTGTAAATCTTCATGGGCAAAACCAGCTCATTCCTACACCCCACCTCAACTCTGCCCCAGAGTAGCTGATAGATTGAAATCTTCAACTTTTTGAAAAGCACATTTCAGGACACAAAAATCCAGAGTTTTCTTTCTCTCCTGAACTATTTTGCTTCTGAGACCATAAGAATATTGGTCTGGTTGCTCCACACACTGGTTTAGTTGAGAACTGTAAACACAAAATTGTTAAGCATCTTCAGAAAAGTGATGTAACTTGTCCTGATTATAAAACAGATGTGGTGTTGTTGTTATGTGCCGTCGAGTCGTCTGTGACTCATAGCGACCCTACGTACAACAGCCCTAAACTCCGCTCTGTCATGTGCCAATGGCACTGTCTCTGACACTCCCATCCCAATTATCCCAGTCACTGAATCAATCCACCTCATAGAGGGCCTTCCTCTCCTGCGCCGTCCCTCCACCCTCCCAAGCATGATGTCCCTCTCCAAGGACCGGGCTCTCCTCACAACATGTCCAAAGTAAGTTAGACGGAGCCTCAGAATCCTTGCCTCCAAGGAGCCACCCGGTTTAACCCTCTCCAGGACAAATCTATTTGTTTTCCTAGCAGTCCATGGTGGAATACAAAAAGTTGAATAGGTTGACATATTGTAAGAAATATGAAAGTACAATCTGTTGTTTCTCCATAAAATAAAAAATTGACATCAGGGTTGGGGTAAGACTGAGAAAAACTGGATAAATTATGTATACTGCATTGAAACAGATGAGGGAGAGAACTGTTTAAAACCGATATATAATAGGGTATTATGGTTATCACAAGAGTCCAGAATTAAGGTTGCATAGTGGAGTACACTCGGGGCGAGGGACGGGGTGGACTGTATACCAACAACAGAATTTTTCTTTTACTTTTCAAAGACAGGAGTAAACTGGGGGGGAGGGGTGGGCAGGGAGAAAAGTGCAACAATGAATGAATGGAAATCTGAAATTTCTGTAAATGTTCATTAATATTAATAAAATAAAATTTTTAAATAAAAAAATTGTGCATAATTTATAACCACTCTGGAACAACTAGAGGACCCCTGGTAGTATAGTGCTTAAAGTGCTCATCTGTTAACCAAAAAGGTCAGCAGTTCAAACCTACCAGTGACTCTTCAGAAAAAAGATGTCACAGCTTCCATAAAGATCACAATCTTAAAACCCTATGCTGTCTACTCGGTCCTATAGGGCCACTGTGAGTTGTTACTGACTTTACAGAAACAGGTTTTTAATCAGCTGAAGATTGCATATCACTTGCCACTCCTAAGTGGCTGCCTAAACTAAGAAAAAAATAAATATTCAGAGAACTCTAAAATTATTGATTAGATTGCTTTGTATAAGGACTCATGGTACTGCAATGGTTAAACAGTAGACTGCTCATTGTAAGGACAGCTGTTTAACTACACCAGTGACTCTGATGGACAGAGTACCTGTCATCCAAATAAAAACTCCATTTGGTTTTCTTATGGGATAAGTCCTTTCTTATTTCCAATAGGCTACAACTTGATGGCATACAACAGGATACTTCAATCATTTTAAACCACCCTCTCCTTATTATGAGAGAATTGAGAAACAAAACTAAACTTGGGAAAATTTTTTAGAAAAAGATTTAAATTTTGCCAATCCACATTTGCATTTTACAAAGAAACCAACTTACTCGTAGGACAGACTGAATCATCAAAAACTTCATCTTCAGATCCAGACTCATTTTCATCGCTCTCCAAGCTTGACTCATCTTCACTTGACTCCTCACTCTCCTCATCTTCCTCTAAGGTGAGAGGAGGACACTGTCAACAGTCAGCCCCATTCTGGTGTCAAAGTGAACTGCAGATTATTAAAGTGTTTTTTCAATGAGTTAGTCACTTGGAAAATAACAAAGAAAAAAAAATCAGGAAATTACTCAATATTTCCCGGAGAGTAGAAAATGGTTAAGAACACAGGGTACATTCACACAATGGAATACTATGCAGCACTCAGGAGCAACAATTTTGGAAAATATTGTATACTATAGGGAGTCTAAAGAGTCTTATGTTTAATGAACTACCTCAGTCTGTCTCATAAGGACAAATACTGTATAAAAATGTTGTAAAAATAGAAGGATAACTAGTAAGAAGTGGATAAAAGTCCAAAAGTGGGGAAGGGCAAGGAGCTAAGGATAGGGAAGGGGAAAATTACTAGGATGACAGAGATTGGTGGGTGGAGAGGAAGGTGTGAAGGAATTAGCAAAGATTCAGTGAAAAGTTCAGGTGATAGTAGGTATAGATCAATGGTGATTAATTTTATAAACACAAAGTATATGAATGACCAAATGAAACACAATGTGAATGAAAGGATGTATAAAGCATATTGTACCTGAATGAAACACAATGTATACAAATTCTATATGCAAACCAATATAAAAGAAAAGGGAAAAAGAAAACAGAGGCCACCAAACTCAAAAGCCTGCAGGGGCTAAGCAATTAAGGCCAGTGTCAAGTCAAAGCGGCTAAGAGCAGTCAGCCACACAGCCTGTGTCATAACCCACATAACACACACTGTGTCACGCAGGTACACAATTTCTAAGTCATAAAATGAGATTTACAATGAAAGTATGTTCACTATTTATCTGCATTTCAATAAGTAAATATATAACCAACCAATCAAAGCCAAACCATCAAGTTAATTCTGGCTCATAGTAACTCTGTAGGAAAGCACAGAACTTGTCCTCGAGTTTTCAAAGACAGAGCAAGCATGACTAGCAGGAGACTGGGGATAGGGAGAGAAGACAGAAAAGGTAGGAGGGCTTTGAACATGGGAGGTAATTAAGAGGAAAAAAGAATCCTGTTTCTTCCATAACTAAGGATGCAGACAGTCTGGAGGAGCAGCATTTCTTGAAAAAAATGTCAAAGAAGGGTTCCAGGACAGATTCTCTGCAAAGACTGAGAGTGTTGTTTTTTAGACTCTCCATTGCTCAAGGACATTGTAATCAAAACACTGTCTGAACAAAAGCTAAGCCCTTCAACAACTAGGAACAGCAAAACTCAGGAAGGGACAGAGTTTCATCTCCAGAAATACTGAACCATCATTTGAATGACTAGTTTTCAACAGTTTAGCAGAATGGATAAAAAAAAAAAAAAATCACACACACACACACACACACACACACACACACACAAGACCATGATCCATTCACGTGCTGTCTAAAAGACAAAAGCTTAACATATTAAGAAGCCGAAAGAAAAAGATAGTAATCAAATAGCAATCAAAAGAAAGTGAAAGCAATTATCTTATTATCTGAAAAACAGTATTGTTTTTAACTAAAAGAAAAATTACAAGACAAACACTCTAAAAAAACCAAAAACCTCTCATTGCTGTCAAGTCAGACCTGACACTCCAGTGGGTTTTCAGAGGCTGTCAATTACATGGGAGGAGACTGTCTTTCTCCCGTGGAGCAATTGGTGGATTTGAACCAATTGCTTTTGGTTTGGCAGCACAACTCCTAAATCCACTAAGTTATCAGAGTTCCCTAAGAAGGACACTATACATTGTTGTTGTTATGTGCCAACAAGACGCCTGTGACTCATAGCAACCCTAGGTACAACAGCTCTGAAGTCTGCCCTTTCCTGTCACACCTACCTCCATTGCCCAGTTATTGTATCAATCCATCTCATCCAGGGTCTTCCTCTCCTGCACTGTCCCCTCTACCCTTCTGAGCATGATGTCCTTTTCAAAGGACTGGTCCCTCCTGGCCATGTGCTCAAAATATATGGGATAGAGCTTCAAAATCCTAGCCTCCACAGAGAAACTTGATTTCACCATGACTCTTCTCCAGCATCACAACTCAAAAGCATCAATTCTTCTGTCATCTTTAGTCACTTCCAGCTCTCTGATGCATAGCAAGTAATTGTGAAGACATTGCCTGGATCAGGTGCACTTTAATCTCTCAACTGACATCACTGCTTTTCAGAACTCTGGAGAGGTCCCTGACAGTTGATTTTCCCAGTGCAATTCATCTTTTTATTTACTGAGTGCTGGTGCCAAGAGTGCTGATTGTGGAGCCAAGCAAGCTGAAATTCTTAACAATCTCAATCTTTTCTCCATCCGTGATGGTGCTGCCAATTGGTCCAGTGGTGAAAGTCTTTGTCTTCTTCATGTTGAGCTTCAATCCATATTGAAGACTACAGTCCTTGACCTTCTGCACCAAGTGCTTCAGGTCCTTGTCAGTTTCAGCAAGCAAGGTTGTGTCATCTGCACAATGCATGTTGTTAATGAATCTTCGTACAATACAAGCCTGATGTCACATTTCTCCTCATAAAGTCCAGCCTCCTGAATGCTCTGTTCTGCCTATAGTTTGAAAATGTATGGAGACAGGTTGCATCCCTGATGCACTCTCTTTCTGATTTTGAACCATGCAGTGCCATGTCTTCAAGGTTAGTCACATTTTGTTGTGATCCACATAGTCAAATGTCTTTGCATGGTCAATTAAACACAGATAGACATTCCTGTAATACTCTTTGCTTTCTGTCAAGATCTGTTTCACACTGGCAATAAAGTCTCTAATGCTACGACCTCTTCTAAACTCAGCTTGTATATGTGGTGGTTCTCTTTTGATGTGCCAGTTGTTTCTGGATAATCTTCAGCAGGATTTTGCTTGTGTGTGATATTGTTGATACTGTTCAATAATTTCCACACTGTCGAATTACCTTTTTTTTTGGAATAAATATGGATTTCTTCCAGTCAGTTGGCCAGGTAGTTGTCCTCCAGATTTCTCTGCACAATCTGGTGAACATATCCAGGGCAGCACGTTTGTTGAAACATGTCAAATGGTACTCCATCAACTCCTGGGATTATTTATTATTTTTTGTCGAGTCCTTCAGAGCAGCCTGAACTTCCTCTTTCATCACCATTGCCTCTTAATTATATACTGCTTCTTGAAATTCTTCTGTGTCAGCCAATTCTTTTTGGCTTTTTCTTCCATCTTCTTTTAATGCTTCCTGGATTAATCAATATTCTGCCCATAGTATCCTGAAGTATTACAACTCACAACTTGAATTTGTTCTTCAGTTTCTTCAGCTTAAGAAATGCCAAGCGAGTTCAGCCCTTTTGATTTTCTGACTCTAGCTTCTTGCCCATTTCATTATAATACTTTGCTTTGTCTTCCCGAGCTGCCCTTTGAAATCTATGCAGCTTCTTCACATCTTGATTTCTTCCCTTTGCTTTGGCTTGTTCGTGCTCTAATGCACTATTCAGTCTGACAACCATTTTGGTCTTTTCTTCTTCCTCCATCTTTTTATTGACCTTTATCAATGATATTCTTGATATCTTCCCACGGCTCATCTGGTCTTCGTTCATTAGTGTTCATGGCCTCAAACCTGTTGCTCTAGTGGTTAGAAGCTGTGCTGCAATCCCAAAGGCATGTGGTTTAAACTCACCAGCAGCTCTACAGGAGAAGGATGAGCAATCTCTAACTTGACGGTACACAACAACTTATATCAAGAATGGGAGCTCTGGTGGCCTCGTTGTAAGAAGATGTGCTGCCAACCTGAAGGCAAGTGATTCAAATCCACCATTTGCTACTAAGGAGAAAGATGGGCCTTCTCCTCCCATGTGATTTACTGTCTCTGAAAACCCACTGGAGGGTCAGCTTTGGATCAGTTTCAACTCAGTGGTACATAACAACAACAACAACAACAACTACTTAGCAAGAAGATGTAACAACTGTTGTTGTTGTTGTTAAGTGCCGTCGAGTCGCAGGTGACTCATAGCGACCCTGTGAAGGAGAGTCCTTGACGCTTGGGTGCCTTACATCCTCTCTCCACGTTCATAGGGTTTCCGGAGGCAAGCTATTATGGAGGTGGATGCCACTCTTCCTTCCAAGTGTAACAACTACAGACAGATAAACTTGAACACCTGAGGTGTGAAATAACTGAAGCAAAAATGGACAGGATTTAAGGGAGAGATGTTGGTCCCTGTTCTATCAGCACCTCTACTTTCTTGCATGATAGCTGGGGGGAAGTATCTAATACAGCCTTCAGTTATTTCTTTACTTCATGACAATGAAAGAAAATAGAATTGTATCTAAAGAGGGCTGATGCAAACCTTGTTCTCCTTCAACCTCCTTTTTCTTTGATCGCCTAATCTTCTTCTTTAGGACCTTCATGAGGAAGTTAGCAAATGTATTGTTTTCTCCAAGGGCTGATTGGAAGCCAGCATAAAGCGCCTTTTCCTGATCCTGGAGTTTGTTCACTTCATTCTTCTTCTCCTCCATCTCTTTAAGAGTCTCATTTATTTTCCACTAAACAAACAAACAAACAAAAACAACCAAAGCCAATGGTAGGTCGAATATTTCTGGTGAACCAATTCAGGGAGCAATATACATTGGGCTACAAAATCATAGTCAACAATTTTTCTTATGGTAGTTATATTCCTGTTTATATTTCTAGTGTTTGAAAAGCCATCAATATATTTTATTAAAGCATTATCATTTTCTTTTTTTGTTCAGGATCAGATAAATTTCTTTTTTTTTTAATGTTCAACTTCTTCAAAATGATCTAAAATAAATAGCCTTTATTTTACTGATTTGTGATGTCAATTACTTTTGCATGAGTGGCCTCTCACAAAGAAAAGATTTCTTTCATATTGGTAAAAATATATTATCTCTTAATGAAAGTCTCACTTTGATTCATTGTGTCAAATAGGAACTGACTCAACTGACCTTCCTTTGAGTTTCTGAGGCTTCAAATTGCACAGACACTGTCCATCTTTCTCCTGCAGAGCAGCTGGTAGATTCAAATTCCCTGTCTCCTTAACCCCTAAACTAGAACTGTGGTGACTGTTAGTATGTGACAGCTACTCGTTAGGATCCTTACTCCTTTATGACAAAGATAATGTAATTTATCCTTTCAAATCCCACATAGAGATGATAAACCTCATTTCCTTTAATATGCAATTATGCTCTACATTGAAACTCACTATTAAGGAAATTCACCAACTTCTTATCCAGATATGTTCAATAATCAAAATGTAATTTCTTATGATAGTTGAGGACCCTGAAATGATGGACTTCAGAAGTCCATAAGCAAATGAAATACAAAATTCATTTAAGAAATATTTTTCTTTCCTACAAAGTATTAGTCCAGACTTACTTAAAAAAATATTATTTCACTTCTTCCTGGTCAAGAATACCAAAAGCAGAGCAAGAAGGAAAAATAGGAAAAAGAAGGTATGGTAAGAATGAAAAAAGAGATGAGACCTAGAATGAAAGGGGAAAACAACTGTTTCTTACACAACTAAGGGCACCCAGCCAGTTAGAATTCTCTGGCCTAAACAAACCTGCATGTCTTGTTCCTCTTTGTCTAGTGCATTAACACGTTCCTGAAGTATGTTTTCCTGTTTTTCAAAATTCTTGAGGAGCAGCAGTTCTTGAAATAATGTGACATGGTGCAAGTCAGATAATTTCATCTGAGTATCTAGCTTCAATTTCTGATGTCTCAGGATACGCAGTTCAGCATCAAAAGTGACTATCAGTTCTTTGATCTGAGGTGGCAAAAGAATTGAGGTTATGTTAGAAGTTAAGAACAGATTCCTTTATTTAAAAAATAAAAACATAGCTATCTAACAGTACTAGTGGATGTGGTGTAGTGAATGACTTAATATGACCCTTCTAGAAGGCACAGGGTTCAAATCCACCAGCTGTTGACTATCAACAACCTGCAATGAATGAGTATTCAGCCTGAGGGCTGAGGAACAGGAGATCTGAGGGCTTGAGGCAAAGAAAAATACTTCAGAGAGGTTAAAAAATGTTCAAAGATAATAAAAATATTGTACTTTTGAATGAGCATAGTTGCAGACTGTGTTATCTTATGGTTTTTTGTTGTTTTGTTTTTTTGGTTTTTGTGGGTTTTTTTTAACCTGGAGTTAAAAAAAAAAAAGTAAAGGATTTTAATTTTTTCACTCACTCATTCACTACTGCTGAGTTGGAACCAGCTCAGTTTCTGTGGCTATAAATCACCACGAGGAGACTGCCCATTTTTCTCTGACTTATCAACAGATTCTAAACACCAGGGGGGGCAGGCCCTTGGAGTTAATAGTCTCAATGGACCATGACATCCAAGCTCCCTTCTTTAGAGGTTAAAGTGTACTTACTTATAGTCCTAAAAAGTGCTACCCAGTTATGCAATTGAACCACACTGGTCTTTAACTTCATATGGGTCACATTTATTCTTTCCTCCTGATAGCCTGTATAATTTGTGAGAATAAAGAGCTATTTGCTTGTATTGAGAATAGTGAACTATTTGTATTAAGTACTGTGGAATACCTATTACCGCACAAGCACAGTTCCTGCACATAGTTTGTCTAATAAATATTTATTACATTAATAACTAAACCTTTGATTATAATTAAGAATTCACGCAAAAGCATTTGACAGATTCTATACTCTGTGTCTGGGATTATCATGGATACTAAGTGGAATCTGGAAGTATATGCAACACCTGCCCTCCAGACGGACATAGGAAGGATCTTTGTGAAAAACAATGTGTTCAAACTTGATAAATAAATCAGAGTAATATAAAAAAAATTTTAAAAAGAATTACATAACTTAAATTTTTAAGACAAACCAATACAAATGACCAAGCAAATAAATAAGCATAAAATGTTGTTGTTGTTGTTATGTGCCATCGAGTTGCTTGCAACTCATAGCGATCATATGTACATGAGCCCTAAACCCTGCTCTATCCTGAAGCATAAAATATGAGGTACTAATTATGGGTGCAAGTGAGCTTAGAAAACATAAGAGAGCATGTTAAAAGGGCAGCAAACCATGGAAAGGGTTTGGAACTGGGCTGAGAGCTGAATGGTGGCTCAACTCTGGAAAAAGGTCATTCCTGCAGGTAGAAGGAAATAGCAAAGCGGGACAGGGTGTGGGGGAGGTTGAAGCACAGCTGTAGAACCAAGAACAATGGAAGGAAAGGGAGTGTGAGGAGAGGCAGGAAGAATGAGAAAAAAATCCCAGCTGGACGTACCTAAAACAAAAAAAAAAAAAAAAAAAAAAAAAAAAGGCAACAAACTAGGGAGCTCTGTTTGCTTCAGATAAAATATCAGGGAGGCTTAAACCGTAAGGAACCCTTTCATAGATAGAAGCCGGGAAGGTACACTGAGAAGACTCTTATGGTCCTGCTGACAGGAATCTACCCAAAAGGGTTACTGGCACAAGTGGTCCCAACCTGGCTTCTGGAACACTTCTGGCACAAGTGGTCCCAACCTGGCTTCTAATTCTCTTTGAAATAAAAAGATTTGTCATTGCAACTCCAAAACAATTTCAAATCCAGTCAGGATTAGGAACGCTGTCACAATGGAGTAAATCACACATTTCATCAATAAGAGGGTGTGAAAAGCAGAGCTGGCCTATTTTCCCTGGAAGGCTTTTTACCATGTCCATTCCATCATGTGAAAGCTGCTTTGCCCCTTATTCTTCACATGACCTCAGGCAGATGTCAACAAACGTAAGTTTGCCCTTCATTTTTAGTTTTTTCCAAAACAAAAAGAGGAACAAATGTCTAAATATATGGGCTGCATACAGTGATTTTTCAGAAGGACAGGTTTGAGAAATAAGCTGGCCATCAGTGACCAGTGCACAGTTAAGGTTTAGGGCAGGTTAATGTAGAGAACTAGGCTCTGGTGGGTAAGAAGTTATTGCTGACAACTCAAAGACAGATGATTCAAAGGGAGAAAGATAGGCAATCTCCTCCCATGCAAGGGTAGAGGATCAGCACATTGCAACATGACACATAACAACAAATACGGATAAATGTAAATTAACACAAAACCAGATCTAATTCTTTCCCTCCTCTCATCCCTTACCCTGTTGCTCAAATACTGTTGCATGTATAAGTGTTTTATCTCCTCCCTCTTCGCAATCTCTATCTCTATTTCTGATGGCTCTGTCTTTTCAAATTCTGAGAGCCTCTGATGTTCTGAACTGTAGGTGGATGCTCTTGAAGATCTTGACAAAGAATCTCGCGTTGTCAGATCTCCATCCCTTCCGGAAGCGAGTTTGAGGAATGCACTGGGGCCCATCAATCCCATCTGGTCCGTATGAAAGGACTTTTCATTCTGCTCTTTAATTTGCTGTTGCTTAAAAGCAAGGAGAGTTTCCTTATCATACTGAAATCTCTTTTCTGGAACTTCTTCTGGGTGTATTTCAGGAATTTGAGGAATAGGGATGTGCTTAGATTCAGGGAGAGTCAATTGAATGTTCTTTAGTTCTTGAACCAAGCACTGAATCTCCTCAATAACAGCCACTTTAAGGTCTCGAAGAGAGAGGATGCACTTGTTCATGTGCAGTTTCTTCCCATGGGCCTGAAAGAGAAGGAACAAGAAGGAAGCAAAATTATAATCTTCTCACAAAGAACAGTTTAAAATGAGAAATAGGAAAAATGTTCCTTGAGTGTTAAGTTTAGGAAAAATTAAAGATAAAAATTTCTTTATCTGTTCACCACCAAATCAGGGAGCTGTGGTGCTGGAGAAGAGTATTGAATATACCATGGACTGCTAAGAGAACAAACAGGTTCATCCTGGAAAGGGTGGACCAGGCTAATCCTTGGAGGCAAGTATTCTGGGGCTTCGTCTGACATACTTTGGACATGTTGCAAGGAGGGAGCAGTCCTTGGAGAGGGATGTCATGCTTGGGAGGGTGGAGGAACAGCACAAGAGAGAAATACCCTCGATGAGCTGGATTGATTCAGTGGCTGGGGTAATGGGGGTAGGTGTGTCAGAGACAATAACATTGGCACAAGATAGGGCAGGGTTTAGGGCTGTTGTGCATAGGGTCGCTATGAGTCACAGGCAACTCCATGACATATAACAATAACCGGTGACCTAGTAGCAAGAAGCTGAGCTGAAATCCTGAGGCCATCACCTGCACCACGGGAGAAGGATGGGCAATATCCTCCCATGCAATTAACAGCAGGAGGGTCAGCTATGGGTTGGTTCTGACTCAACAGTACACAACAACCACCAACAACAAATCTTACTGACAGCTGACTGCCTCATCTTTTTTCTGCAAAGGTGTCAGTGGATTTGAATAGTCAGCCTTTCAATTAGCAGCCCCGCACTTAACATTCTCAGTCACCAGTGTTCTTCGTCTTTGGTCAGGGACACACATATATCTGCCCTTTTCTAATCTTTAATCTCTTTGACTTAGACTCACCTATGGCTGATTTTCTGTGGATCCACACATCACCTAGTTTCCTTCACAGCACTGGGGTCCTGTGATTGTTATCTGCCCTAAGCAGGCTAGGTTATGATCCTCAACTAAAAGATCATGTTATACCAAGAGATTCCAAGACACTTCCTTGGTTCTCTCCCCATTTATCTCCTGACAGTTATATCCCTGTGCTTCCAACAACATGTCCATTCCTTCTTCATGGCTAATTCTCCAAAGTCTCTATACTTATTAAATTTCCTCACTAGAGGCTTGGGGCTCATATGAGGATATTTAGGGTTCTTTTTGTGTTCAGTTAGGCAACCAAATGATCAAAGGGTCATTAAAAGTTACTTTATATAGATTCATAGCCTAAAAAACATTACATCAAAAAGAACTATATTAAAGTTATATATTTGCTCTCTATGAAGCTGGAGAAGAGTATTGAGTATATACCATGGACCGCTAGGAGAACAAACAGGTTCATCCTACAGAGGATGATACCCTCCTTGGAGTCAAGGTGATACTGCTCCTTGGAGGCAAGGATTCTGAAGCTTTGTCTGACATACTTCAGTCATGCTTCAAGGACTGACCAGTCCATGGAGAGGGACATCATGCTTGGAAGGGTGGAGGGACAGCGCAGGAGAGGAAGGCCCCGGATGAGATGGATTGATACAGTAACTGGGGCTGTGGGGGTGGGTGTGTCGGAATCAGTGAGCCTACCTCAGGACAGGACAGGGTTTAGAACTGCTGTACGTAGGGTCACTATGAGTTGCAAGTGACTCGATGGCACATAACAACAACAACATGAAGCAAAACATTGTGGCAGGAAGAGAAAATGTCTTACATACTTGAGAGCAAACTTTGACATTTTTAAGGAGTCAGTTCTAAAAGTCAGCACTGAGGTGAGTAAGGGGATCATCCACAAAACCCCTGGGGGACAAGGATTAGGCTTAAAAGGAAGAATCTAAACCAGCTGGAGACTGAGGGCCTCTCTCTTTGAGGACTCCTCTTTACAGCCCAATCCTTTCTAGATTTTCAAATATTGTATGACTGTGGCAAGGATTATTTTGGGTGTGTATGTGTGTTAATAGATTATTTGCATAGTACTCGATGTTTTTCCGTTTTTTATTGGTGGTAATCATGACTTTTTTCAAACTTTATTTTTACTTTATATTTGTTTGCATATAAAATTTGTGTAAGTTGTATATCATGCCTGCACTTTACACATTCCTACATTCACATTGCTTCAAATAATCACTCAGCACTTGATATTTTTAAAGGAACTGTACTGTACTGGATTTGACCACTATAATATAACCCTGTTGTTAGATTAGATATAACTTACTGCTATTAATTCTTATTAATATCATTTTTAAAGATAAGATAAATGAGACATTCATATAATTTAGCAAAGCAAAGTTCACATGGCTATTAAGTATCCAAGATAACAATAGAACTCTGGTCTTGCAGACTAGTTAATTCTACATTACTCCAGAGAGTACTTAATGGTGCAGGTGATTAAAAACTCTACCACCAGTCAGAAGGTTGGTGGTTTGAACCCACATAGAGGTATCTTGGGAGACGGGCCTAGTGATCTGTTTCTTAAAGCCTTGAAATTCCACTAAAGCAGGTTTATTCTTGAATACACAGGGTCACCATCAGTCAGAATAAATGCCACAGCAACAAAAACATATAGAATGCTGCTGCTAGCCTAGTAAAGCAGATCTTTCTGTAGAGCAATTGTGTTCCAGGCACCGCACTGACCTCTATTCCCTAACTAGACTATGACATTTCGTTGGAAGACCAGAAAATTTTGGTGCTAAGGATATTTATCTGTGATAGTGAATGGAACTTGATGGATGAAATAAGAAAATCTTAGACAAGTAACTAGAAAACAATCTAAATATTTATAAAACATTCAAAATGTTAATTTTGAATAGAAAACTAAAGTTATGAGCTATGAAATGTGTTTGTGAATATGAACTGCCATGCCAGGGTCCACCGTTGGCCTACACAGTAGGGTCATTGAAATAACAAATTTTTTTTGTAAAAAGTTATCTCCCATAAAATTACAAAGTATGTGAATGCACTACATCTGCAAAATATACGGCACCCAATTTGTGTCTTGAAATATACAATCTGTACAACCTTTCTGGGAAACCCTATGGAAAATTTACAAATTGCAAAGCAGGTGCTTCCTAAGGTTCTAATTGGGAAAAGTCACTTGGCAAGTTCAATTAGGGATTAAAGAACCAATATACACGTGAGAATAAATAGGTAAGAAAACTCAGCTCAACCCAGAATGACAAGCAGCAGTTAGGAAAATGTTAGCACTCAAAAGGAATACATTCATTGATTAATATTAACTTAGCCACAAAAGTTCTACAAATAAAGACAAGTCTTTGGTGGTTCACGACAGTCCAAATTAACACCTAATGAGGCTCTGTTTGAATTTCAATCTAAATCTCTTACCCATTAAACTGATACTGAGCCATGTAATTAATTTGAAGGCTGGCTCTGCAATATTAGTTGCCCAACAACAGATATAACTCTTGCCATCCCTGGAACTCACCTTCCTCCCTTGTAATATGAGGTAATTACTCTAGATAATCATGAAAAATCAGGTCTCAGTTTCTGTGACTATTAAGGACCACTGGTTCGGGAACTGTGCAGTAGTTGTCCCCTGTCCCATAGGGCTGCTTCAAGTCACAATCAGCTTGACAGCAGTAAGTTGGTCTAGGTTATAAAATACTAGAGTAGCTATCATCACTAATATTTTAAGACCAGTTGGCAGCATTTTTCTTTTTCTAGGGTAAATATTTGGAAGCAGGAGTGGCATCCACTTCCTAAACAACATGCCTCTGGAAACTCTATGAACTTTGAGAAATGACAATAGTTAATAGAAAGGCTTCAGGCTTTATGTTCATAGGATCACTATGAGTTGTGCTCTACTTGATGGCAATCAACAACAACAACAACAACACTGACTATATATTACAAGGAGCTCTGGCTGTCTAGTGTCAAGGAGCTTCACTGCCAACTTAAAAGCACCAGAATTCAAGCAGTTCTAATTCACCAGCTGCCCTGTGGGGAAAAGATGGGTAATTTCCTCCCTGTCTCTGAAAATCTGACAGCACAGAACAACAACAACATAAATCCTTATGGACTAGATATGGAGACAGGCGATCTGGCAGAGTTCACTAAGAAATCAGGGTTATTGCACCAGTATCATGAAGTATGCAGGCAAATACCAGAGTGTCTAAGATACCCAATTCTTCCTCCTTCTTGGCAGCATTTATTCTCATGTGTTCAGGTATCTTGTAATCTGTAGCTGTCTTCAGATTAAAGTCTCCCATATGCATCTGGGCATCTTTGATGGCCTGAATATCTCTGGGATCTTCATAGTCATCCCTAGGTTTACTCTTTAACCTAGAAAAACAAACAAAATTCCAGATCTAGCAATGAATTATCTAATTTATCTACAGTAATATAAATATCATTCCAATTTAGTATATGTGCTGCCGAAGCGAGCACAATATAAATATATATTTAAATTAAAAAAGCAAATAAAACAAACAGTTCTGAGTCTGTGATGTCATTTTGTTTATGTATCTCAACCATTCATTAAAATTGTTGACTATTTTTAAAGCATACAAAAAATCAATTTATTCACCAGATGTTATTGAAAGTATTTGATTCGAATGCTTCGAATTCACCAGCTGCTCTGCAGGAGAAGGATGGTCAATCTCCTCTCATGCTTTTACTGCCTCTGAAAACCCAGTGGAGGGTCATCTATTAGTCAGTTCTAACAGGACCGTATATAACAACAACAATGACGACATTTATTGTCTTATTGCTCTGTCTCAGATACTTTGAGCATATGGCCAGGAGAAACCAGTTCTTGGAGAAGGGCATCATTCTTGGAAGGGTAGCGGGAAAGCAAAGGAGAGGAAGATCCAGGATGAGATGGACTGACACAGTAACTAGGGTGATGGGATTAGGTGTGTCAGACTCAGTGATACTGGCCCAGGATAGGACAGGACACAGAGCTGTTGTATATAGGGTTGCTACAAGTCACAGGTGACTCGACAGCACATAACAACAACATATTGGTTTGCATACAGAATTCATCCACGTTGTGTTTCATTCATCTACATTGTGTTTCATATATTCTTGCATTCACATTGTTTAAACGATCATTCCCATACATTGTGATTTATGTCAGTAATTTTAGGGGCCATGCACTCCAGTGATGCAGGCAGTCTGATATGCTGAGGACTGGTGACTTGGCAGCTTAACATCTATGAAGAGACCGGCAGCCCCAAAATTCCTGGTGGCGCCCAAGCCTTGCCACCCCCCCCCGCGCACCTCCCCCCCCCCCCCCCAGCCCCACAACCCCATGGCCCCACCCCCGCCACTGTCCTGCACCCCGACACACACACCCCACACCCCCTAGTGGCCATGCCACAGCCCTGCACTCCCGGCAGCACCCCAAGTCCACTAGAGAGTCCTTCACGTAGCACAGAGACCAACCAACAGCTGTGGACAGCAGGATTTTGAATCAAAATTTTTGTTGGAGCAATTCCTTTCAGAATAGAAACACAAAGCCATGCCACAGAACCAGCCATCGCCTGAAGCCACCAATCGAGCTGCTGTGGGACTAATCTGGCAGGAGAAAGGCCTGTAGGATCCTGGCTGAGTTTTCTTGGGCACCGCCAATTGCCTGGAAGAGTACCCAAGGATGAGCCCACTGGTGGAAATTTGGCTGAACTCTCTTGGGCCATGCCAAAGGCCCAGGAACAAACGGGCCAGTGGTAATTTGTTTGCACTATTGGACATAGTTGACCAATTCAGCAAACTAGCAGGATAAAATATCAACATACAAAAATCAGTTGGATTTCTCTACGGTGGCAAAGAGAATACAGAGCCAGAACTAAGAAAAACAATGTTGTTGTTAAGTGCCATCGAGTCTCAGGCAACTCATAGCGACCCTATGAAGGAGAGTCCTCAACCTTTCACAATATGTAATTAAAATATTAAAAACTTGGGAGGAAATGCAACCAGAAGCACAAAGGATCTATTCAAATAAAATTACAAAACATTGTTGTTGTTGTTGTTATGTGCCATCGAGTCCTCTGCGACTCATAACGACCCTATGCACAACAGCCCTAAACCCTGCTCTATCCTGCGCCAACTGCACTGCCTCTGACAAACCCATCCTGATTACCCCAGCCACCTAATCAATCCATCTCATAGAGGGTCTTCCCCTCCTGCG